CTGAGTAGCAATGACATTTAGATATAAACTTTGTAGGTTATATCTTACATAGCGACCTACTCCAGTAGGTACAATGTAATGTTTTGTGCCAGTAGGCATTGAGTAGCAATAACATTTAGATGTAAACTTTGTAGGTTATATCTTACAGAGCGACCTACTCCAGTAGGTATAATGTAATGTTTTGTGCCAGTAGGCATTGAGTAGCAATGATATCTAAGATATTACGTATTAGATATGACAATAGTAAATATGAAAATATCAATATTGTTCTCAACAGAAAACATTATCTTGTGAGAACAGAAACGGAATGTGATTGTTACTTAACGCCTTCTGACAGAAAGTATACCTACTAGTGTCGCTCCAATCAAAATTGAATTATGACCCTAATATCTAATAAACAGCTAAAAATTCGTCATTGAGTAGCAATAACAGTTAGATGTAAACTTTGTAGGTTATATCTTACAGAGCGACCTACTCCAGTAGGTACAATGTAATGTTTTGTGCCAGTAGTCACTGAGTAGCAATGACATTTAGATATAAACTTTGTAGGTTATATCTTACATAGCGACCTACTCCAGTAGGTACAATGTAATGTTTTGTGCCAGCAGGCATTGAGTAGCAATAACATTTAGATCTAAACTTTGTAGGTTATATTTTAGAAAGTGACCTACTCTAGTAGGTGCAATGTAATGTTATGTGCCAGTAGCCAGTGAGTAACAATAATATTTATATGTAAACTTTGTAGGTTATATCATACAGAATGACCTACTCTAGTAGGTACAATGTAATGTTATGTGCCAGTAGGCATTGAGTAACAATGACATTTAGGACTAAACTTTGTAGGTTATATCTTACAGAGCGACCTACTTCAGTAGGTACAATGTAATATTTTGTACCAGTAGGCATTGAGTAGCAATGACATATACTTTATAGGTTATATACCGTCCACACAAATTGTCTGTCCAGTTTATGTCTGCTGATTCTCATGATGTGATGATCTTTGCTATTTACTTATTTGTTATATCGTTAGTTAAAAAACACAAAAGGTATATTGGTATCATAGTTTCGCATAAAATGAGGTGACGTTTTGAGAATTGTTTTTTGTGCGTTTATAGCTACTACACAATTTGTTCTATTTTGTAAGCTTTTTTATTTTGAACATTTTGTATTGAATATAGAAATGAACATTTGTTTTTAAATTATTTTAATTTCGTTTTAATCACAGCATTCTGGTGAACTGGAAGCCCGATTACGAATACAAAGCCAGCACAAACGGCAGGGGAACGTTGCTTATAAAAAACGATGAAAACAGCTTACTTTCGAAATGCACGCAAGTTATCGATATCATCAAAGATAAAGATGCAGTATATTCCCTGTTGGATAAAATATGGGACATAGTAAGTGTTATGTCCGGGTTGTCTGAAAACTTACCATTTACCATGTGTACCTTTTAGGCAAACTTCTACCATTACGAGGTTTTCATCTGCATTTTAAAGATAATAGGTAACACTGGGAAAAGAGAGAAAACGAAGAACCTGGATCTGCCGCTGTTGCTCTTCCTAAAAAATTACCACCGTTTCAGCCCGCCCGGTCAGAACGAGAAGGAACAGTGGTACAGTAAGTTCACCGAGAGCCAAACGTTGGACGCCCTGTCCGAGTTTAGGCTGCCGTTCATCCAAACGTTGTTCACCTTGGACATTTGGAACATAATTCGTCCTGAAATTAACTTAAAGTCGTATAGGTATTGGTTCGATGCCGCTAATATTTTACGGAAGAATTTGAAGAAGGACGACATATGCATCTACGCCGTCAAAGAAGTGGTGAGCGCTTTACGGCATAAATTTCTTCGGTTTATTCCTTCGTTCGACGGATTTTTATCGAATAGTTTTGATATTCAATCTTTTGTTTTAGGTTACAAGTGGGATTTTGGGGAAGGAGGAATCGGGTAGTTGGACGCTGTATCCAAAATTCGAGGATCTGTTTGCTGAGGTTGACGCATGTGTCCAAAATATTTCCAATTTGGAACGGGCTACCTCTGTGGTTTATCATTTAATGTATCACACTCCAAACGGTAAGTCAAGTGTAATTTTTATTTTATTTAACATTACGGGACGGGTCCAGGGCAGATATTTAATAATTCGGAGGAAAAAAAATTGGAAAAATTGATAGTTTTTTGAGTTGGGCACATGTCTAGTCTCAGATAAAAATTTTTCGCCTGCCCTTGTTGTTCTCGGGCTAGTCATTGTGATAGAACTACCGTAGAATGAACTACTTTACCTCAGCTGAATGTTAGGGCTTGATTTTCAAAATGGCGTCCAGAGTTTGCAAAAATAGGCTTTTTCATTAAAAAAAACTAAACATTTTAGAAAAGAATGTTTTAGACGAAAGTTGTAGAACTTTTTATAACAAAAGTTTTGAGCCCAAATGTATTCGTTATTGTAGAATTTACAAAACTTTTAGAATATATAATCCTTGGTAAGTAGAATAAGTGCATTTTTGTAAAATTGCAAAATATTTAGTTTTTGCAAAAATTTGAGTTTCTCGAAAAAAACATATTTTTTTCAAGTTTCAATAAATCATAAGTAATGCACTAACGTGGCCCATCTTGGGCTTAAAATTTTCTCTAAGAATTGTACTTTCCTGTGCAAATTGTGCACGTGTGGCAAAATAATTGGAAATATGCGAAAAATCTACTTTGACTTTTTTTTTTGGGTCGAAAAATGTACATCTTTTTCTTATCGTTGTAATTTAATCGGAATGGCATTATTGCCATTTGAAAGCTGACAATTTTTCACTTATTTAGAAAAAAAAATATGTCCTACGACCAACAAGAGCCGAGAAATTTTTTAAAAAATCACTACTACCTTTTTTGCAGTAAACTTAATTTTGGAGGTTAATCATTGCAGACTGTTTTTAATATTGAAGTAAAAGTATTCAACTACAACATGTGTAAATTTCAGTCCTTAATATTAATAAATGAGTTCGTAGTGATTTTTAAAAAAAATATTTTTTCGGCACCTGTTGAACATAGGACATTATTTTTCTTTAAATTCGTGAAAAAATGTCAGCTTTCAAATGGCAATAATGCCATTCCGATTATATTTCAGCGATAAGAAAAATATCTACATTTTCCGACCAGAAAAATGAAGTCAAAGTTTCGGTAGATTTTTCACATATTCCCAATAATTTTGCAATACGCGACAATTTGCACAGGAAAGTACAACTATTAGAGAAAATTTTAAGTCCAAGATGGGTCACGTATGTGTATTACTGTTTGATTTTTTGAAACTTGAAAAAAAATCTTTTTTTCGAAAAACTCAATTTTTGCAAAAACCCAAATGTTTTGCAATTTTACAAAAATGCACTTATTCTATTTGCCAAGGCTACGGTAAAGTAGTTCATTCGATTCTACGGAATTTTTCCTAATTTTTGCGTGTCTTTGTTTACTGAACTAACTTTTGACAAAAAAATGAAGTATTTTCGACAGTTTGACCGACCTACATACCAGACACGTTCATCTTGGACGCCGTGTACAATACTGTGTTTCCAGGTGCCGACAAGGTGAACGCGGCAGAGCTGAGCTACAAATACGCTAAAAAGTACAAGGAAAAAAATCCCAATTGTTCCGATATAGAGGCCGCGTGTATCAAGGTTAAAACGAAATATTACAGTTCCTCGGCAATGCACATCTTACACACATTTCAACTAGCCGAGGACAAATACTTACAGCTCGTTGCGCAACCCGACGACTTGGTCCACGCTCTCTACCGAGACGAGAGGATAGTTGAACAAGCCGAGTGTATTAATTTCAGTTGTCCAGGTATTGTTATGTCGTTCCGATTCCCGTGAGGTTGCAAACGTTAAACGACGAGCCCTTACTAATTATATTTTCAGATATTAACAAGGCTGTCGATGCTCTGGGTGTATTATACGATTTAAAAATTCAGCAGATTAGGTACAATCTACTGAACCATTGGTTGTGCAGCTCCAGCAACGAAGTGGACTTCGATTCTACCTTGGCTATAACGAGTATCGCGAAATTGGACACGAATACTGACGATAATCTGAAAAGGTAAGTTTCTTTTGCAGGGTATTCCAACGTTTCACTGTTAAAAATTGTTGGGGGTCAAAATAATATGATTTAACTAAACTTACCTCGGTCTAAGGTCCACTCAGCTGCTAGAAGGCGTCAAAGTTGGAAAAGGATTTTAATTTCTGTTTCTCTGGTTCCAAAATTGAAACAAGTCATAAATAAATTATACCACAATTTTTATAGTCTTTCCAAAGTCGGTTGAACACATATAAAAACGCCTAGCAATTAAATTTAATGGGTTTCATAAGCGTCCCAAAAAAAAATTTATTATGTTGATGGTAAATTTTGGTTATGACTTATCAAAAAACATTTACGTTTTCATTAAAATGTATTACTGCTCGGCAAGAACCAACTGGTATGGCTAAAGTTGCTACTTTATTTTCTTTATATACTTTATATTATAACCGAATATCCCTCTTATTTCTCCCTTTCGCAATTGTAATACGAATGATTAATAGAAGGTGCCTATAATAAATTCCATTGCCTGAATCACGCCAAATTCCGCATTGCTGCACTGCACTGCTAGGCAATTTGTCAACAACTGAAATTTATGGCCCAGTCGCCCAGTGCGGCTGTGTGTGTGTGCGCTGTTTGTCCGCGCTCGCATTTTTCAACTGGGCTTATACACTTCTACCGCCTCCACGTTTAGTTCGACCAGACCTACATATGAGTATGGCTAAATAAATATAAGTTTTTCGAATTCTTTATTTATTTACAAAGTATGATAAACTTTCGATACAAGAAGTAAAAAATACAGCAGCATATAAACAATTAAATATTTATACTTTACGTTACCGCGTATATAACAATCCTATACATTTTGATAAATTATGACATTTTTAATATAATTCTTCATTTTAAAATTAACATTTCAATAATTTCAGTATATATTTTAGAATATTTTTGGCTGCAATAACGTAGTTTCACAGTCTAATACAACATACAGGTTTGGAAAGTCCCCATGGTACATCGGCCGTTAAGTGAGAGCGATAAAGTGAGTCATAGAAATCCATGCCATAAAGAAGGATGGCTATAATGAAGGCGTCTCATAGTCACTGCCTGTTTCGCCCTTCCACAAGTAGGATCCACTTCCACCTATGAGATGCCTTCATTATAGCCATCCTTCTCTATCGCACGGATTTCTATGACTTATTTTATCACTCTCATGTAACGGTTGATGTACGTAAGAAGTGGATCTTATTTGTGGAAGGGCGAAATGGGCGTTGACTATTAGACGCCTTCATTATAGCCATCCTTGTCTATCACATGGATTTCTATGGCTTACTTTATTGCTCTCACGTAACTTCTGATAGACCATCGGTACTTTCCTACACTGTATATAGTTATAATAATAATAACATTTTTTAGGGCTACCTACATTTGTCTGAGCGGCGACAAGTCGTTCTGGCAAACCTATCTTTTGAAAGCCGGCGTAAACGAGGACGACGTCGCCGATTCCGAACAGAGAAATCTGTCGTTCAAAGCCAAAGCGCTGAAATGTTTTTGCGCCATTTCGGATGTCGACACCATAATCCGAATGACGGACGGCGATTACAACGAGTTTCTGTAAGTTGTTTTTATCCCGAGTGCATCGTCCCGACCACATCGTCTACTTGTTTTTAGGAACTATATCGATAAGTTGTCCCTTCTGAGCGAACTGGAATGTTTGGGAATAGCCCTGAATATCAGTACTTTGGATAAGTACAACAAAAAGGAGCTTCTCAAGCGCTTGTCACAAGTCGGGAAACCCATAGCCGTGAAGGCTATGGCGTCTGTGTGTACGACGTACTGCATTAAAGATATACGGTACTGGGAGTTCATAATAGGCAGTGCCATTAAACTGGGCATGGTACGTGTTCTTTTTCTTCATACAGGGCGCTTTGAATTGCAGGTGATGGGTAGAACCAGAGGCGTCATTAAAAAATTTAGATATCGGGATGTTGAATAAGTTCTGGTTTTTTTTTTCCCCAAGAATTTAGTAAAATACCCATTTTTTGGCATCTTCATATAAAAGGAAATGCTGCTCAGCCAATGGAACAAAATTATACACAAGGCTTAATGTAAAACTATACCGGGTGTCCAATTTTAATTGATACACGTAAATATCTCGTCAGAGAAGCCACCAATCGAAAAATGGCATAAAGTAAAAGTTGTTCAGTTCACTGGGGGAAACCAGCTGCTTATCTAAGATTTGACCTTGAGCTCACCTTGAAGGTCAATTGAAGGTCAATTTTGGAATTTTAAATGGGACCCCCTATTTTTAACCTTGGAAATGGATTTAGCAGAAAATTTTACATGCGGCTGTGATCATAACCTTGACCTTGAGGTCAAGGTCAGGGTCACGAGTTTAAATGATTCTTCACCCTTGAAGCAGCCGCGGAAAAAGATGTTGACCTCCAGAATCTATGGGATTTACATCAATCACGACCATGGATTTGTCCTTGACCCCCACTTTGTCAAGGTCATTTGAAGGTCGACTATAACAATTGTAGGAAAAAATAATGCTACGAACGAGTGAGGGGAGCATGAACAAAAATATCTTGTTACTCAACGAAGGTATAACTTCGCTTGAGAATTGAAAAAAGAGATATCTGAGTATGTTACAAAGTAAAACTGACTGACAGTGAAAAATTGAGAAAAAATAAAAATATCACTATTTGTGAGCCATTAAATTCTGGATTTAAATCTTCACCTGATCTTCAAATGAACTTTTTATTTGATCCCTTACTTTGCAGCGTACTTGGATACAAATTTACCGTTTTCCCAAGGTCTGATCTAAGTAATGCACGGCCTGGCTGAAAAGAAAACAAAGTGAACCTTCAACTTCAATCCTGAACATCTTCCGCAACATTTGTTGAGGTGAAGGTCGATTTTTATAGTCGACCTTCAAATGACCTTGACAAAGTCAAGGACGAATTGAAGGCCGTGATTGAGTACCTCGATGTAAATCCCATCGATTTTGGAGGTCAACATCTTATTCCGAGGCTGTTTCAAGGGTGACGAATCATTTAAACCCGTTGTGACCTTGCCCTTGACCTCAAGGTCAAAGTTGTGATCGCGTCCGGATGTAAAATTTTCCGCTGAATCCATTTCCAAGGTTCAAAATAGAGGGGTCCCATTTAAAATTATGAAGTTGACCTTCTAGGTGACGTCAAGGTCAAATCCTAGACAAGCATCTTGTTTCCCCCAGGGAACTGAACAACTGTTACATTAGGCCATTTTTCGATTGGTGGCTTCTCTGACGAGATATTTACATGTATCAATTAAGATGGGACACCCGGTATATTAAAAAAAAAAAAATCATCGAATTAGTTGTAATTGTTAAAATTTTCCCCAAACTGCAGTTTGAACTTTCCGGTAATTAAATATAATTGGACATATTTTGTTCCAGTACACCGAACTGAGGACTTATGTGGACTTCCTAAAAATCCATTGTTACAAGAGCTTTTATATAAACGCTTGGCAAGTTATTATCAATAATGCTTTCCACATACCGAATACCCTGTCGAAGGAGGAGCTGCATGAAGTTTATATAAAAAACTTTTTGATGATACAGGTAAGTAACGTTCTTGTTTAAACTGTCGAGTATTATGTTTTTATCGCCAACCGTCAGTAGAGCCTTGCATTACCATAGCGATTTCTGGAAGTAAAAAACACTTTATTTCACTGTAAAAATCAAGCATTTTAACTGACGCAAATATTTTATAAACGTAGCTATTACTGTACGACATTAATCAGAAATTGTTTGTTGCTGTCGCGGCCGCAACAATAAAAGTTTTGTCGCAAATTATTTATAGAAAATGATGGAAGAAGATATTCAGTGAACGCCGCTTGAAATTCGGGAAAAATCGTTAGAAAGGTGTTTCGAAATTCTACCACAAAAATCAGTCGAAAAATACATTCGCCAGTATAACATTGAGAGTTGCTTTCGGCATGCAGCAAAATAAAGCTCTCTCCCAACGGTAAAAATAAAAGTATTTTTATTGAAAACTAGTTAGAGAAAAAGAATGCGTGTTGTAGAGGCAAGTAGAGTTCGCTAGAGAGTCCTCGTGGTGTGGAGTCGTTCGCAGGTATAAGGTCCTTGGCGCCAATCTGTCGTGGACCTTTTCTGTTTTTTGTTCTTGCGCAACTGTTAGATGGGTCACTTGCAGACATGTGTACGCACACACCCTCTGCCAGTATGGATGCCATCACGAAACGTGCAGCCGGTCAGGGAAATGAACCCTTCTACCGGACCTAGTGGTAATTTCCTTGGGTGTGGTTGGCACCGATTTTATTGGGGCAGAAGTGGATGGAAAGCTATTGACCCAGCAAACCTGCCAACTATCTGCATTTGCCAGAACCATCACTTTATACCTACGGGACATTGTTTTCGTCGCACGTGCCCACTCTCTTTGCCAATGCAGGCAGCTGCGTGGAAAAGCGACACGATTGCAGAATTCTACGTTGAGGAATCTATACTCAACAAAACGAAAATCGCAAAGACGATTTTAAGCGAAGGTCAAACTGAAAACATAATTATTACCGATTATAAATAATTCTACTAGATTTACAAATTGTTAACGTAGATAATAATCCTCAAACGTTTTCAAATGAAACTCCTTCGACTCTAGGAATTAATTTTTATATTGCGTCCGGGTGTTCACATTTAATACCTGTTTAACAAAAAATAAGTAAATTTGTTTTGTATTTGCTGTCATTTTTCTGTTTACATTGTCGTAATAAATTGTGATAAGTAATAATATATCCATTTTTCTAAATTATAAATTTTACGGTTGGCGATAAAATTTTGTATGCACCACGTTAGTAAAGTGTCTTTATCGAACTTGCCTGCTATTCGCCTCGTTCGGCTCACAATCTCGGGCTCGTTCAATAAATAATCACTGACTTGGTACATAAATAACTATTTTTTTAGTCTTGTCCGGTGCTGTACTCTCTGAATTTTGAAAATGTAGTCCAGAGGTGTATTATAGACAAAAAGTTCGAGTTTGCGGCCATATTGTTGCAATATTTATCCGACGAAAAGAAGGATGTTTATGTTAAGGTAATTGTATTGAATTATCCTTAAATCCTTGACACATTTTTTGGTTGTTAATTATTACCGCCAAACTTTTTCAGAAAATTTCACCAAATAGAACCCTGTTTCTGGATTTGGATAACTTATCAAAAAATGGAATATGGGGAACTAGAAATGTAAATATTCGTAATATTCTTCTATAACATAATTTATTTATTTGTTTTTCAGATCAAGTCTTGGCTCGCTACAAAAAATTTATTTTAATTTAAGCGCTAATAAAAATGAAAGTTTTCTATTTTTATATTTAATAAAATGTTTATTTTTACTATTTTTCTTTTTTCGTTTATGGTAATTTTTTTAATCTCTTTAATACGTTAAAATTTTTAATACTAAGGTAGGTACTCTCCTGCACTGAACTAAATACAGGGTGATTCAAAACTTATCAAAAAAAATTTTTGAATGGACTCAAATACAATTTTGCAAAAAAGAAATCGAAAAGGGTAGATCGAAAGTGATTTAAAAATATATTTCTGCACGGCACTGGACATTGGTCCAGTGTAAAACCTGACCTTACTGAAGACAAAGCATGCAGTCGGCGACCGGCACGGTGACAAAGTGTAATAAAAAATAAACGAACAAAATAACGAAAGAATTCAAATTCAACTGCTTTTGCCGTTATTGCTATTATTAATTAATAAAATTAATTTGTGGTTTTAATTAATAAAATAATTTGACATGATGATGTTACAACTGTTCAAAATTTTGTCCAGCGACGTGTAAAAATATTTGGCCCTGTTTTACCCAGCTTCCACGAACTAACACAAAAGTCGTCTTGCCTTACCATAAATTAAAACGATATCCATCAACTCCGAGTTGCTATACACGTTAAGCCACTTTTGACACTGGAACAACTACTGTAAACACTATTGCAATGACGTTAATACTAAAATTGGGCTTCAGCATTCAGAATCACCTGTGACCAAGAGGGCGAATTACGCTAGAGACAGTAGCCCAGCGATGTAAGGGTTTTAAATACTACAACATTTTTTTCTCGGAAACTAGATTTTACAAAAATTTTTTTACCATATTGACTATATTTTTGATGACGCATCTATATCCAAAATTTGTTGGAACAAATGTCCTTTAGGGTGCCCCAAAAAAAAGAATATTTCTTTTTTCGTGTTGCGAAATATTAGTTTGTTTTAAGAGCCCCCTCACAAAATGAGCACAAAAAAATTAAAAATTTTTTTAGAGGTCGCTCAAGATTTTTAAAAATTTCCAAAATCGTCAAAAATTTATTTTTAAAATTTTTTTTCTCGTTATTTTATCATTTTCTAGGTTGAAAAAAATCTCAATTCTGAAAATTTCAAATCGATATTTTAATTTCTAAAGGTCGCTGATAATTATTTTAACTTGCAAAGTGGTGTGCTTATGTTTTTGAGCGCCCTCTAAAAATAAATATCAACGAACTAATAATTTTTTTATTGAGTTTGATGAACAAAAGATAAAAGTAAATCATGACACTTAAATTTAAAAAAATTAAAAAATTATAAATATTTGATAACAGTGGGGTAGTAAATTTTGCCTCGAGAAATTTTTTAAGTGTAATTTATTTTTATTCTTTTCATCAAATTCGATAGAAAAATTACTAATTCCTTAATATTTAATTTTAGAGGTCGCTCGAAAACATTTTAAGTACACTACTATGAAAGTTAAAATAATTATGAGCGACGTTTAGAAATTAAAATGTCGATTTGAAATTTTTAGAATCGAGACTTTTTTCAACCTAGAAAATGATAAAATAATGAGAAAAAAAATCTAAGGAAAAAAATTAAATTTTTGATGATTTTGGAAATTTTTAAAAATCTTGAGCGACCTCTAAAAAATTTTATTTGAACTACTACACTACTTTGAAAGTTAAAATAATTATGAGTGACGTTTAGAAATTAAAATATCGATTTGAAATTTTTAGAATTGATCGAGATTTTTTTCAACCTAGAAAATGATAAAATAATGAGAAAAAAAATCTAAGAAAAAAAATTTAAATTTTTGACGATTTTGGAAATTTTTAAAAATCTTGAGCGACCTCTAAAAAAATTTTATTTGAACTGATTTTTTGAGGGGGCTCTTAAAACATGATAAACTAACATATTTTCACAAGACACGAAAAAAAAATATTCGTTTTTTTTGGGCCACCCTAATGTCCTTGTTATATTCACGTAGGTAGTTTTAAATTCTTGGATTGAAATCTGTAGACTTGATTATCCAGATTGATAATGTTTTTAATGAAAGCGACATCTCGTAAGAAATAGAGTAGATACTGCTTTTAGCGTTCCGTAAATTTCCCACTGAGTACGAGCCGCTTGTTAACAGATGGCGCGGACAGTAAAAAGGGCTGACCAACCAATATTTATAATCTATATTTCCCAAAGGATGTTTATTTAAATTTATTCAAGGGCACAACTTTTCCATGCCATACAATGTCACACTTTTATTTTGCGACATATACAGTGGTGTCAGTGGTTTTATTAATAAAGCCATTGTAGCCAACCACACATCGACGCCATCTGTGAACGAGATCCTTGTACTAAGAGTTTGGACAATTCGTATTTAATACGGTTGTTAAAAAAGAAATTATTAAATATTCTCGTCTAATGTCTCTAAAAAGAAAAAAAGGTAAGTCAGATTTATAATCCAATAATATACAGGGTGCGTAACAAGAGCAGGTAAAAAATTTGAAAAGCTGCTATAAACTCGGCTAAAAAAAAATATTTTCCAGGGATGCGATTAATGGGAAGTTGAATTAAAGTGTCGCATGAAACAAACGAATGAAACTTTGCACGATTATAACAAATATTATTTTTTTAAAATGGAATAAATAAAAATTGTCAATTATTATGGAAACGATTTTTTGAAGCTCATGATTTTAGTTGATAACAAATTGTGGTACATCACATTTTTTTCTTTTGTAAGAGCAAAAGTCTTGACGAAATTTAGTAAGAAACTCTATCCAAACCAAGCAAATTGTGATAAAATACGAAACTGCATAGGTTTGCGCATATAAAAGAAAGAAATGTGTTTTATATCGATTTAAATTTACTTATCTATGCATATTTTGATACATTAACTAATATCGCGCGGCAAATTTACAATTAGCCTAATCTACATATATTTTCCTAAGGTCACAGCTTTTAGGAAGACTCTAGATAAAAATGTACATTAAAGATAAATGACAGGCCGAAATCATTATACTTGATACTCGAAAGAAAAAATGCAGCTGCTTAATACGAACACAGATGATGGAGAAAGTAATTTTGAGCAAAAAAGTTCACATCAACATGTGTCCGAAAACGCCCTCCTGTGGCGCTACGCCCCTTTAAAGGGGGTCATTAAGACACAATTTTATTACAATATCTCGAAAATGCTTCGAATTGAATTGGTAAAATTTTATACAGAGGTACCATTTATAACGAAGAATTACTTTATCTAAATCAAATTGACCCATTGTTTTCAGAGGCGTCCCTATGTGGGGGCAAGTCAAGGTTCAAAATCCGTAACTTTTTTATTTTTAAATTCGAAATTCTTTCTTCGAAAATCGAAATCCATTTCTACATAAAAAAGATATATTTGTTTCATTACGATATTTGCAAGGGTTTTCCAAAAAAATCCGATTTTAACTTCTTATTATGCTTCTGCTGAAAATTAAAAAATATGTAGAAGCTAGAATTCTATTTTTCCTACATGAAACAAGTATATCTTTTTTATGTAGAAATGGTCAAGGATTTCGATTTTCGGAAAAAGAATTACGAATTTGACAAACAAAAAAAACTTTTTTGCTCAAAATTACTTTCTCTGTCATCCGTGTTCGTTTGGCACACCGGAAATGAAACACCCTGTATATTCGCCTAAATACATTTTACCTATGATCGTGTCAAAAACGAAAATTGACTTTTTTTTTGCAAAATTTCCACTAAAAAAATTACTCTTTATGTGAGAACCTGCGCAATAAAATCTTTATTTCAGTTAAAAGGTAGGAATGTCAATATTTCATTCATTTTAACTTTCTATCAATGTGTACATTTAACATGATTTTTAAACAAAAACACAGCCGACAAAATGTAACTGACCTCTTCCGAAGATTTTCGACGCACGGAATCTGAATCCTAACAAAATGTTGCTCCATCACATCGGTTTTTCGAGATATCCTAACCTAAAAGTACGAAAATCCTACTTTTTCTTTATATTTGAGGTTATATGTTACATCACAAGATAATTTTTCTCCACAAAACTCGTTATGGCATTTGAAAATACTGCTTTGCTACCTAAAAATCCATTTCGAATAAGCCAAACTAATCGATTTCATCAGACGACTTCTCGGAGAGGAAAGAAATATTCGAACGTTCGTTTTCAAATGCTCTAACGAGTTTTGTGGAGCCAAGTTACACCTTGTGAACTTGTGAAGTTAAATATATAATCTCAAATATAGTGAATATAGTGTTTCGCATTTTTGGGTTAGGATATCTCGAATACCTGACATGAGGTCTGTTCCAACAAGAGTCAGGGATTGGTTCCCAACCGTTTGAAATGTTTGGCTAGCTAAGTTCTAAATGTGTCTTCACTGAATATATCGCTAGAATTAGTTGGATGCGCATTTCAAACAGTTCGGAACCAATTCCTGATTCATGTTGGAACAGACCTATGACGAAGCAGTTCTCAAAAACTTTCGGAAAAGTATAGCGAGATTTCTGGTTTAAAATTCAGTCGATCTGGGTAATTAGTACTTTTATAAAATAAAGCAAATTAGTAAATCATATTCGTTTTCTTTTGAGTAGCTAACTACACAATAATGCAATATGTGTAAAAGCTAGTCCTGAATGAATAGTTAATTTGCAACAGGCCTGTTATTTATTACGAAGGCGCTATTTAAGAAGACTCCAGTCGTTTGTATAATAGATAAATGGCAGATAATGTTAAATGTACTGAGCATTTTTGTTAGTAAAAATTAGTAAACTGCACAAACATGAACAGAGTGGTTATAGTGCCTTTTTTATTTTTTCTTATCTACGCGAGAAGTACAGCATGTAAGCAATTTTGAAATTATGTTGAGCGTAATAACTATTTACTTTAAATATTTATGTAATTAATAATTATAAATTTTTTTATAACATAAATATATAATTATGCAGTTGCTATTTCAACTAAGTTTTATTGTTTTGTAAGGTAGCAAAATACCCAAAACAACAAATAATTAAAAAAATTTATAACTTTTTATAACACTCAGGAATTGCTGACAATTCTACCATTATAAACTAATTACTGTTGCAAAAATTTGTTTGCCAGATGGAAAGTGATTTTTTCTTTTTCAGTTGCTGGTGTTATTGGCAGTAATGTTGCAGGGAGTACCGCTCTTGATAATTACCCGCTAGTGGACGGGTAACAAATTTATTTGTCATATAAACTTACAATTAGACATAAATACAAAACCATACATGTGAAACTAGGCCCAAAATAGTTTTTTGGAAAATTCAAGTTCACTTATAGAGCACTTAAACAGAAATGTCCAACCTACACAACGACACTAAAATTATTCCGATCGGACCACTCCTGCGCCCAGCGGTTGCGACAGAATATTTATGCCTTTAAAAGTTTATACCCATTTTCACACGTACCTATATATTTTCCTAACATGTAGCGTTACACTACCGGTTCTTTAAATACTTGCAATGTGAAAATATCGTCAAAATCAAGTTAGAGAAAATAGACTTTGAAATAGGGTCGTTTTCTTTGGTGAAAGACGATATAAAATGTTACAAAAGTATTTATAAAATAGTCAATAAATAGCAAAATTGCTTATGTTTCAATGAAATAATAAATGATATACTGATTTCACAGAGGCAAAGAGTTAGTAAAATCTCTGTGGTTGAAACAGAATTCTGGGAATTTTTCCTTAAGGCTGTTTGAAGTACAATTTCTTATGTTAAAAATGTTACCAGATTTATAAAATAATCTTCATAAAAATATTTGTGAAAATATTGTAGAAAAAATAATGTAAAATCTATTATCTGCTTGCCACTATGGTATATTTTTATATAAAAATATAATAAAATTTATCACAACACATGCGCAGTTGATGTTACCGTAGATCTTATAGTTCACTGTTTTATCTGGTTTTAAAACAACTGCACAAAATGGATGCATGAATTATTCAAAAAGTCATTGCGACCAGCATTAGGCTTTTTTTCGCGAGTGAATATTGGTGAATACGTCTGACTTGTAGTTACTGTTTCTATCTCTTTTAATCTTTTTTCTAACCTTGTCTAACCTGAACAGATGGCGAAAATGTATATATTCACTATTCAGTGATATGTAGGATGTACTTTGACGACTTTGACATATGGGTTTTAACTTCTAACCAGTAACCATAATTTGTCATCATTTATTGTAATCTAGTGTTGTGGGAATTGGTGTTATATCTCACTATATAATATATGTATTTGCTTCAAATAAAACTGAAGGAATATATCAATGCTTTCTTTGGAATATTTTTAAGTGGCAAATTTAAAAAGCGTGAAAAGTATGTAGATTCTGACGTTGCAAGATATGCGAATATTCGACATAATCGTTATCGTAAGAGAATGGAAGGTTAGGTCGGTTTTTTATGTAATTCATACGAAAAAGACTTGAATTACAAATGATTCCACCAATATTATCTCTGGCCTAGGTCACAAAAAAAAAGAGGATAATCCTGAAGCAAAGTGGATTGCAAATATGTCCCATATAAAAAATTAATCTCACCATCAAGTAAAATATTTGCTGTTTCAACGTCTATGTTTACTAAAACATCTGTGCCTCTAAAGTTTAAATTTAAACTGGCCACTTCCACAACCATATTAGAATCCATCATTTTGCTGAACGATTTTTATACTCATTCAAACAAAATGTCAAAAAGAAAAAGGTTAAGTTACCAGCTGACAATACTAGTTGAATATACCAACAGAATATTCAGCTGAAGGGTGAAGAGTTCAGTCATTTGATCTAAACTTGTGACGTCACATAGTAGTTTAAATGACTGACTATTCTCGCAAAAACGTAATATTCACTCATACTACACATACTACAACATACGACTTCACTCGTGAAAAAAAGCCTATTATTTTAATTATAATGATTACGTTTAAAAGAAAAAAGAAGTAAAAAAAAAAACTTAAAAAAAAGAATGTGGGATAGAAATTTTGTTTTAATTTCATTAATTGTAATGTCAGGATTTTCCAACCTCAGCATCTCCTTTATTTCGCTAAGAACTGTTTGCTTTAAATGCTTATTCAAATATTGTTTTGTCTTTACAGCATACAAACAGGGATGTTTCTTATGTTCATTAATAAATATTTTTACTTGTCCTCTCGTCCAGAACATCGTTTTAGACGCGAGAAGCGGTAAATGTTAATTACTTTAAACACAGATTAAATAGGTAAACATAACCTATAATTTGATCTGACAGGTGGCAATGCAGGCATCACAAATAACTTTGTTCTGCGCAGATTTACGCACATTTTTATAAAGAAAATTAGAACAAGTTCCAAAATTTCTGTAAACATTTGTCTATAAATAAATCTGAATAGAATTTCATATATTTCCTGTTTGTCACGAACATATTTCTACATAAAAAAATTTGCTCAGATTATGTAGAAAATTTTAAACAAGAAATGCTATCATGTCAAACAGCCTTTAAATGGAATTCTGCAATTCTGTAGATGTCTTATCCTGCAGTACCTCCAGATGGTACTGACAAAAAAAAACTAATTGTAAGATATATTTCTGTACATATACAGGTGTAACTGAAATAGCGGATTCTACTTCAGAAATTAACAAAAAAATCTTATAAGGTGTTCAAAATTAATGAAAATATATGGTGAAATATATTATATTTCAGGTTATCGTCACCTTTTGGCTAGGTATATAAATACCTGAACGGAATATTCTACTTTCTAGTTTCGAAATTACATTTTTCTACGCCATAGCTGTATTAGATGAAATTTATAATATACCAGTGACGGCTCGTGAAATTGAGAATAGGTGAAGCATATTCACTGATTGACTAAAAAACGGCTTGAAAAAATATGTGTAGTATATAAACGCAAATAGTAAACAATTGTGATTTGAAATATAATAGAGAATATATTCAGTAAGTACCTACTCCTCTAGACTACACTGATCTCAGTCTAGACTGCATAAATATATGGCGATTATGTTATTACATCTGCTTATAGAAATACGACTCAACAACAGGAAAAATGAATTATGCAATCAGTTACAAATTTTACCCATAAATATCCGTATCCAAGAGGCGCCGATATTAGTGACTATCCCTAAATTGTATATTATTATTATACAGTTTTGATGTAAAAAATAATTTTAATTAAATAAAAAACAAGCGTCTTATAATTATAATATGTACTAAATTTCTCTTGTATACTTTTTTTTAGGCATAACGATTTACCATACAACCTATATACAAAATTGAACGACACCTTAAAAGAATTTCGCTTTGAAAATAATTTAATTAACGACACTATTTTCGGATCGAGCGACTGCAGTTGTCACACTGATTTACCCAGATTAAAGCAAGGCAAAGTTGGGGCACAGGTAATTTGTGGTTAGAGATTAAATCAATTATTAGGTTTTCATTGATTTTTAGTTCTGGGTTGCATACGTTGATTGTACTGTGGAAAAAGAGAAGGCTGTCGCTAAGACTTTAGATCAAATCGACGTTATTAAAAGGTTAATAAACAAGTACCCAAACGACTTGGAGTTTGTAACTACTTCCGATGGTAAGTTGAGAAATGTCCGGAGTGTTTTGTATAGTCAATAACTTCGAGGAATAATAGAAAAAATAAAATGACTAAATCACTTTTTATATATTTTTAGGAATTTTAGAAGCATTCAAACGGAAGAAAATAGCCAGTCTTATAGCAGTTGAAGGTGGTCACTCTATTGACAATAGATTATCGATTTTGAGACTCTATTATGAGCTTGGTGTCAGATATTTGACTTTGACTCATACCTGTAATTTGGAATGGTAAGTGAAATTAATTTGTAACATGTGATCTACTCAGTTAATATTTTACAGAACATAAAAGTGTTAGAAATCGACCGAGTCGTTAAATTGTTTGGCTGGAAAAGTTTTAGATTGTAGTACCTATTTGTATTTACCTTACTAACATGAAAATCTTGTTTAGGTTGATTTGGTCGACTTTCTCATTTAATTTCTAGAAATTTCAAGTCTTTGATAGTGACTCAACTCTCATTTCATCAATTTAAGAATGAATGAGTCAGCACAAGTTTGTAATTTTCATTCCACATCTACTAATATTATTCTTTAGACATGTCCGTTGTAGTATATTTACAACTTGCCTTAGTCTATGTATATAGGAATAAAAAAATCAAAGGAAATATACAGGGTGTTTTCAAAAGACGTAGCACAAATGGTAACGGTAAATCTACAGCTAAAAAGAACACGGTTTGCATAAAAATGTTTACAGTACCAAATCTAAACTAAAGAAAGCAACAAACTTTGATTTTAGTAACTTATTATTTACGCTATATCTTTAAAATGGTAGAGCTTGAATTTTGGGCACCTTGCATATATTATTTAAAATGTCTAGAGGTAATCTACAAGTTCTAGGGAAAATATTAGAAATCTCTTAGAGGTTGTTAATTATTATTAAAGTTTGGTGTGCAAACTAAATGTTTTAAACAGGTGTTTGCTGCTGCGCTAATTCGTGACGTCATTTAGTGCGATCGACAGTATGAGCGCAGTAAAATGAGCTGAAGAGTATACAGAACAGAGATAAATTTAAGTTTTCTTCTATTTCCGAAAGAGTATTCACAATTTTCTCGAAATTATTCTTCATTTCTTAAAAATAAATAACTGACTTCAGTTAAAACTACAAAAATATGAAAATGCAGATCTTGTGCCTGCTTTTTGCAAAAACATATTAAACATGTTTTATTTAAAGACCTATCAAAGTTAAAAAGTTTATTTAGTCTTCCAACTCACAGTTTCAAAAACTTCTTAAATCCAAATTATTGAACGCATTAGAGATCTTTCTTATCTTTTTTTGTTTTTTTTTTACGTTTAATAAATGAAATATAGCACCACGAATGAGTTTATACATCTTCAAATACTATTGTATCGTCAAAATCGTACAATTTTTTTTTAATTTTCGGTGGATTTTTGTAAATTATCTGATGAAAACTGAGTCGTATCCATTGGAACATTAGTTATGTCTCGTCGAAACGAGAATTACAAACTAGACGACTTACGAACGGCCGATAAGTAGGTTGTGCATTCGGTCGCACTAAATGACGTCACAATGATCAGAAATTTTACATAACCATAATCATTTTGTGGCAGTAAAGAAATTATTATTATTTTTAAAATCTGTTAGACTATATACAAATTTTTGCTGTTCTAAAAGAAATTAACTTTTCATGCAAGTTGACCTTACACATTGTTTTTCTATGCTTCCAGGGCCGAATCTGCTGAAGTTGACAAAACGAATTCCACCAAAATTGGCTTAACTGGTTTTGGAAAGGTATGTTTGTGTGAATAACAAAAATATAAAACAGTTTATTTTTAATGGTCCATAAATTCACAGAAAAATTAGTTTGACTAATTTTTATACAATTTTTTCAATCTTTTTTTTTCCTAAACATTAATGTTGACTATTATTTCCTGAGGAAGACTGAAACAACTCGAATCGTTGGTATTGCCATAAAAATCAATCCATTTTTATTTAACCTAAAAACAAGAATTGTTTACGTTGCAAATAAAATAAATGAACCTGTTTTAGAAAATAGTTTTGGAAATGAACCGCTTGGGAATGTTAGTAGATTTATCCCACGTGTCTGCCAAGGTAATGCACGACGCCATTGACGTCTCAAGGGCTCCAACTATTTTCTCGCACTCTTCTGCAAGAGCTGTTTATGATCACGTTAGGAACGTAGCCGATGATGTCCTCTTAAAAGTGGTAAGCTACTCACTTTATTACATATATCGGTTAAACTACGCCTTTTTGATAAATTAATACGTGATTAATTTTGTTTACGATTTAGATCAAAGTATTTATATTAGAATATCAACGCCTACTAAGATATATTATGTAAAACACCAAATAAATCGTTCATTTCAAAAACCGCATAAGTCAAAACAGTTAAATATCCAGTAGAGTGAACTGTTTTGTATAAAAAGTACCTATCTTTTAAACTATTATTTTACTATAAATTACTTATGTGAGTACAACAAATGTGGAAAAAAAGAATATAAAAATGCGGATTGTTCGGTAAAAAAAGTTTTATTAGGGAGCCTCTAGAAACGTATCGAATAAATTGATCGATGCGAAGCTTCACATTATTTTATTATTAATTTATTATAAACAATTCACTACAACAATCAGTGGCGTGGTAGACGGGTAGTCAGTGACCTTTTTTAAAATAGAATTTCTACGCCTATGAATTATTTGAAATTTCGTGACATCTTTTATGTTTCTCATCAATTCAATTAAAATTTTGTATAGTTTCTATGCGTATTAAAATGATTCCACGCCATTTACTCAGAATCCTTTAATTTTATGACAATGTTGCAAGAACAACATTTGATTTCATTAATTAAATATACAGTGTGTTTCAGAAAGACCTCCCGTAAATTCAGGGGGTGATAGTACTTAGTTTATGAGACATCCATCAATAAGTTTTGACATAAGCCTACTTTGAGAAAAGTCACTTATTTTCTACACCGTAATATTGTAAGAGTTCAATTAAAAGTATTTTTTCTCGAAAACCGTCCACATTAGGAAGTTCTAACAAGAGTACATTATTTTTAGAAAATAAAATTGTACATTTGAAATTGGAGCCCGAATGCTAAAAAATCTAACCTCAAAAAAATTAGAACTTAAAATGTAATACGAATGTAGCATAACCAGCGTTCTCTATAAAATATACAAAAAATAGTTAGACCAACGTATTTGACGTCCTTAAAAACCCCGGAATACCAAATTTCATATAAATATTTCGCACCGTTTGGAAATTTTTGTACAAATTCTATTTAAAAAATTTTATTTTGTCGCTCTGTATCTCGAAAACAAGAGGAGATAGACATATAGTTCATAAAGAAAAAAATTCTTATTTTTTGTTGTACTATGATCCCCTGAATTTACGGGAGGTCTTTCTGAAACACCCTGTATATTTCTCTAAATCCGTACAATGATACATTTTTTAACGTCGTTTATATTTTTTTAATTACAATAAGTGTTTTATATTTTTAGAAACGAAGTAGAGGTATTGTGATGGTCAATTTTTTTTCTTATTTTATCCGAGGGGGAAATGCTACTATAAGAGACGTTGTTAGTAAGTATTTTAATAATAAGTGTTCCCATTTGTAAAAATCATGCTTTAAGGGTAATTTTCGCAACTTAAAATTTCTAGCTCAGTCAATTATTTGTGAAGGATACCACATTTTTTATTATTTCAGACCACATAAACCATATCGTGGACATTGCTGGCGTCGATAGCGTCGGAATTGGTTCCGACTACGATGGTGTGCCTGTGTAAGTAAAATACAAAATTTGAAATTTAAGTTGAAACTAGCTCGCAATAGTCCAGTTGCGTGACCAGCTCGATCGCCAGATTTGAATCCATGTGACTTTTATTTATTTATTGGTACATTTGAAATAGCTGGTGTATTCCACTCCAGTTAATACGATTGGAACTACAATAGCAATAGCAATATAATTAGCAATAGCAATATAATTTAATGAGTGTTATAGGCGTCCCTAAAAAAGTTTTCTGCCAATGTTAAAAAATAATCATAATTTGTATATAATGCGTAGAAAATTTCTATTATGTCCTCAAACAATTTTATTATACTGATGGTAAATTTTGGTTATACCAAATCAAAAAAACATTTATATTTTCATTAAAATATGTTACTGCACTGCACTGCTAGGCAATTTGTCAACAACTGAAATTTATGGCCGGTCGCCCAGTGCGGCTATGTTTGTGCGCCGTTTGCCCCCGCGCGAGTTCTTCAATTGGGCGTATACATTTCTACCATCTCTACGTTTAGTTCGACCAAACCTATACATGGGGTATGGCTAAATAAATATAGGAACAAGTTTTTCAAATATTTCAATGCCAGGTTGCTGGGTAGCGACCCAACCTGATACATACTGCCAAACTCTTTGGTCTTCAATTGATATCGGAAAGACTGACTATACAACTGTATCTTGACACTAACGGTGGACATTTTGACATTTGTTGTAACTTAATTTAACAAAATAAGTGTGGATTTATCGAAGTAACAACGTAGATTTCTTTCTGGCGAGTAGTTTATTATAACAAATTTTATTATTTTTCAATAGTAACCGAATTAATTTCACATTTTGTTGTTTGTTATTCAATCAGCTAAGTATTTCGATTTAGCTGCAGTGGCGGGTAATAAAAAATTAATTTTCTGGTAAGTTAAATTCTAGAACACCCTGTATATTGTATAATACCTATTCAGTACCATGTACTTTAATGAATTGTTTTAAAATATTTTTGAGAAAACTTGCATTATATTATATTTTAAAAATACATTTTATCAAGTACACAAAAGCAGTTTAATACAGGAAATATTCTTAAACTATCTTAGAACATGGTTTTGCGCTTCCCGTATGAATAATATAATGTCAATTTTGATAAAGCTATCAATATTTTCCGGTGGAATATTTCATATCTTGAAGAATTAATATTATCGAGATTAATGCTTACTCTAAATCCAAAGCTAAAGTAGAATACGTTCTTTGAAACAAAAAAAATAAATTAATTTGTGAATCGGACTTTTCTACAAATATCCCAGTTAATTATATTGATCGTTTTTGGTACAAAATATGTATTTGAATCAACGTGTAAAACAAATCATCTTTTTAAATGAATAAATTCGAGAAAATTAAGGAAGTGTTCACTCGTTGGTAATGAAAGGGTCTTACTTATAAAACATAAAGGGTGTCGTGATTTTTATTAAAAAAATCCATAACCATTAACAAACCTGCTTCTGGCAAATTAGAAGAATCTGCTTTTACGAAATTTGCTTCCATTTTTAAATTTAATATGCACAAACGCTAAAACATTCCGTAGATGCAGAAACTTATATGAAAGTAGCGCTAAGCCGGCTGACTGTCCCATGCGGTGACGTCATTACATTGCCACGGCTGAGACAAATATTCGCATTTTAATGAGTTAAAATTTTCCGGATCATCTAATCATGAGCAATACTTTGTGTATATAAAATAAGAACGTTTTTGAAAGTTTACTGAATGACCACATTGCTGAAACAAAAATTTTTTTATGGGCACTCTATCTCAAGAACTAAGCCGTTTCGGACCCATGATATGAACTTTTTATCTTAAATTTAGTCAAAGATTCACCCTTTAAAGTTTGTACAAGTATTTAATAAACACCCCTTATATTTCCGGTCCCTGCCTGTATATAACTTTAACTGTATATCTAGAGGAACAAAAAAATTATAATATTTTAAAGACATGCAAAATCCCGCAAGAGGCGTCCTCTAATAAGTACCTGTCAGTAAAATTATGATCAGATTTCATATCAGTAACAATAATAGCAATAACCAAGCTGCCTGCAAGTGGTCAAAGCTGACGTTCAATCGCTTCTTTAATGGGAACGCTTCGAAACCTGGGCGATCTCCGGTACAATGTCGGCTTTCGGGAATCTGGCCCTATCTTCAAACGTCGCAGTCTGCCCCGGTTGGCTGCAAATTGGGGTGATTTTAGGAGTTTCTTGTTCCAACGTTGCATTGCCTTCTCCGACGTCACTCTCGACCGTACTCTGGTAGTGCAATATCTCAACTTTTGGATTGGAAACCAGAGTGAAATTTGACATAATCGGATAATCTTGATCTTCCTCCTCGATTGCAAGTGGTAGACGTAACTGCTCCTACACCACTTGCTTAACTTTCTTGCATCCCCAATATGGCCATTTGAAAATCTATCTTTGATACTCTTAGTTTGATTTACGCGAAATAAATTTGATGTCTTCAATTTTTTTCGTAAATGCGAGAATTTTTATTTAATTTTTCACGAGCAAACATTGTTTCAGTACGCCTATTGGATTAGAAAATGTATCCAAATACCCAGATCTGTTTGACTTGCTAAGAAAGCTCGACCCTAATAGGTGGACGATAGAAAATTTAGAAAAACTTGCGGGGAGGAATTTTATAAGGGTGTTTAAGGAAGTAGAAAGGGTAAGAATTATTCATATAATTGACTACTGGGAAACATTAGGTAATGTTAGATAGTTGTACAAATCGGGGCTTTGACAACTGAAGGGTAAGTTTTCTTTTTATTTAGAATCAATTAAATTTCAGGTAAAACAGAGTCTTAAAACGGAACTGCCCGCAGAAGATCTTTTGGGAGTCAGCAACGAAATTTAATGACGGCTGTTTTGTGTTTATTAGATATTGATTTGTCACTTATTATACTCTAAAAGTAAATAAATATTAAAAAAAGCGTTTGGTTTTCTTTGCTATTAATAAATTTATTTAAATGTTAAATTCTTTTTATTTCAAAAGATATACAGGGCCTTATTTCTAATCACGAATGGGGTTTTTGAGGAAAAAATTACATACTCTATAATATTAAAAGCAAATATTTCTGAATACCTAATTTTGAGTTATTAGTCTGGTAAGTATTACTTATGCGGATGATCTACATGATTTTGAAGATTTACAGATGTACAGGGTGGTTATTTACAAGAGTGTTGAAAAAAATCACATTTTAAGTATCTCTTGAAATGTTTAACGAAGATTGATAATACTTGAAGCAATGGTTTAACAAAAATTCATAAAGTCGGTGCACAAATCTGACGCAGATGCAGGTGGAGGACTGAAAACACCAGCATTTTAATGCCACTGAATATTTTGGAAACTGGATAAGTGCATTTAGTTCAGGTTGATGTTTCAAAACAATAAATGTCTTTCCTTATATTCGAAAATCGTGCAAATTTTAAGTAATTATCTTTTAAAATTAAATTTTTTAATTTTTCGATGTAGTTGAATCATTCGAAAATAATTTGAAAACGATTCCATATAGGAATTATTCATTAGAAATTAAATTTTAAATCTAATGTAACTGGTGACATGTCCAAAAGAATCACAGGGTAGGTATTTTAAATTTTGTGAGGGATAATACCTTAAAAAAATTAAAATAGCTATGCCACTGACTTCTTTAACTTTAACCGTATCATATTTCCAACAAAAAAAAAACTAATAGTTTTACAGTTATTTTAAAGTTGCTGAATTATGTCGACACCCTGTTTTAAATTTTAAAAAATAGTGAAGTTATTGAAGAAAAACTAAAATAAAATTGTTCAACACCCTATCAAGGTAACTTGGATTAAGAATTTTATCTTAAAGACATCATATACAGGGTGGTCCATTTTTTAAAACAAATTTCGAGAACGAATACATCATCAAAAAATAATGTTTTTTTTGTTAAATAAACTATACCCGACAAATAATATTTACCTTTTGAGATACAGTACGTTGAAGTTTCCCGATTCACTCAGATTTTTATAAATGATTTGGCACTGATCTCCGGAGAATTTTTCAATATTTTTACTTTACCAGTGGCGGAAAAAATAGGTGCCCCTATTGCTTTAGTAAAAAAATATTAGTACGTCACTGGCTTTAATTTTAAAAACAATATTTTTTAGATTTACCGTTTTTTGGGACAATCAATGGGGACAATGGGGTTTTTTGGGAATTTGGGACAAAAATTGTCCTTGTAAGTTTTTCCTAACTATTACCATTTTCAAGTAAAATTTATTATTATACACTAGGCACAGAAATTAATGGATACTAAAAAAAACCCAAAATTTTGAGTGATTTTCAAAGAGCTGTAACTTAAAGGAAAGGGGTTGTTGAGAGAATAAAAACAAAGAAAATTGAAGGTTCAGGTGTCTAGTTTTCATAAGAAAATCAACGGAAAAAAATTGTTAATTTTTTGCTTTTTTAAAAAGGCCTATGGACTTCAAAAAACTTTTTTGGTAATTTCATCATAAAGTTCTTTTAGATAATTTAATTCTCTTCAATTTGAGCGATTCCGGAGCCTTGTACGATTATTTGTCGCTGGTTTATCGTCGATCAAAGCAAAAAAATTATTTTTGACTGGCAATCAATTACTCGAGAAATAATGGTCGTACAGAAAATCCAAGCAGGGTTTTGGAAACTGTAAAGTATTCTCTACAAGTTGTAATTATGGGGTTTTGATAAAAAAAATTTTTTCAGTGAAAATGTTGGTTAAAAAAAGGTAAAAAATTGCATAATTAGGGATATTTGAATAACTTGGCATAAGTTTGCAACTAATGAATAAACTCCTTAGTTTATTCTCCTCCCTAGTCGACTCCTTAGTCGATATCCTTATATCGACTGTAAATTTTCAACCTCAAGGTGTCAAAGAAACCCTGATAATTTCAAAACGCTGCAATTTTTTTCCTAGTGCCCGGAATGTTTAAATTTGTCGTTTTGCTGAAAATCAATGTAATAAGTAATTTTTCACTTTTTAATCATTTGTTTAAGTTAAAAATGTTTTTTAGCAATAATCCATATCTTCTTCATCAAAAAACACTTTACACTTGAAATGAATAAAATTGTTATCACTCTTTTTTACCATGAAAGTACACCTCTTAAGGAAAAAAAATGAACCCTGATTCGTTCCTCTACGGCTATTCGTCCAGCAAGAAGAGCCGATTTTCGAAATGACCTTTTTTTCGAAAAATAGATACCTATAACTCGAAAAATTTTTAATATTTTTTAATTTAAAAAAAGGTGCTTTTTTGCTTGCCGAGTAATATAGCTATCGATATATTTAAAGTAGGTATCGATAGATTTTTTTAATAGCTTCAACTTTCTCATTTAAATTTTTTCGATTGAAGTTTTTTTTTATTAGCGAAAAACCGTTTTTTTACTTTTATGAATTTTTTAGGTTAACTTCCGTTTATGCGCCACAGGAAAAATACACTATTTTTCTTAGAATTTTTTCCCATATCACCATATTTTTTGTTTCCAGGTGGTATTTTTTTTGTAAATTTAACATAAGATCGTGACAGATTGATTGGACTATATAGTTCATGCCTCAACAATTTCTCAGTTGTCAACAGTAATTTTCTCTACACAAGTTAATATTAAGTGAAAAACGTCGCCGTTTCACTAAAGAAAACTCAGAAAAACATGTAGTAATATGTTTTAACCCCTTCCAATATGCCTCGGAAGCCTTATCTCAACACTATGGTTTATCAGGCAAGTGGTGTCATTTAAATTAATATAGATATTTTATCCTCTACTTAAGTCTTGCTCTTTGGTAATAGTTCTATGTTGCAACATATTTTCTGTAAACATATTAATATTTTCTTTCGTAATCTGACTACGGTCCTGTTAAACTCACCACCGCACTAAGTCTAATAATCACTATTAAATAAAAGAACGACGCAGCGTTGTTATGTAGCTAGAAACTTTCAAAGGTAATTTGATGGACTATAAACTTAACGGACTAAAATAAATTTGTAAAATTTATAAGAAAATGATTTTCAAATTTCGATATTTCGAAACGGTTAATTTTAGTTACACGATATGCTATATGAATTTTGTTTAGAAATTCGAGAAGAATGGAAATATGGAATAATATACAGGGTGTTCCGTTAAAGAAATAGCAACTTTGTTACGTCATAACTTTTTGACTGGTCCTGTATACTTAATTTTTCATTATTGTAATAGATTTTAAAAAAGTTGAAAACATATCAGCGATCCTGTACCTATATCTCGAAAACGAATTGTGTTGAGGTGTTCTATCACCAGATAAAGTTTGAGTGAGCAATTTGGGATACCTTGTATTTACCGAATGTTAAATATGTAGGTTTTCCAATTTTTTTTTACATAATAATACGTTATTTTACCGCACATCCGATTGTTGCGCAAACTGGCGTAACAAAATTAATTTTACTGCATATTCGTTTCCGTAGATTAGCGGTTTTGGTACGATATGATTCTAGCTGTGACACTAAAATATTAATTATCGCGTCGAAGTAAAACCGCATTTAACCGACTCTCCAAAAGGGAGAAATGTTGATAACAGTCGCCAGGCGAAATAGCATTTCCTTTAGAACTGACCGTATTTTATTAGTATAAAACCGTAAGAAAATATTATTCACCCAGTTCGGTGGCGATCATGGCAAAGGCTGAGTTGGCTGTGTGCGTTTTGGGCATAATCGCTTGCTTTTGTTTGCACATTTCCGGTAAGTGAGGAACTGTACGTCCCTATGTTAAGTGGTCAAATTGTTTTATTTACCTAATTTTTACACAAACAAAAACTAATTTCCTAGATCCCTTGTATTAATTGTTTAATTCATAGTGACTGGTCGTTGAATTTAGTCGTTAACAATGTATTCACATTTATTTACCTCACAGAGAAAACACTGACGTTAAAAATCACACAATAATTTCCCCAAAAATCGTGACAAGAACAAATTGTATCGAACTTCCATACGATTTTGTTTAAAAATTTGAGAAAATCTACATTTTGTTGGCAATAATTTCGCAATTATAAAAATAATCGCAGTGTAAATGCACAATTTTCACTCGAAGAATTGTGTGAATTTTCAAGACAATGTTTTTTCTGTGTATTACTCTTTAAACCAATAAAATGTAAAATGGTAGAATGTTGGTTTTGGTAAAAATGGCATACTTAATAGCAAAAATAGCCAGTCAGAGTATTATCAGTTGTCATTATAAGGTATTTTTAAATGCTCTTCGACCATTTTATAAGGACCTACAAAAAAAAATGAAAATTGTTTTCTCGAGGTATTTCTTTTGATTCCTGGATTATCACAGCTCAAATAAATTTATTATCATAAGATCTTGAAACTAGAGTCTTAAAGCTTCAAAACGGTTTGTTTTTATCTCGACACGACCATTTTTCACTGAAATATACCATTCAAAAATCACTAAAAGCCTTATCAAATATTTTTTATTAATTTTTTGTAATCAAATATTTTTTATTAATTTTTTCTAATAGTGTATTATTTAATGTTAATAGGATAGTTACAATATTTTTAATTATACTTTATACTACTTCAAAATGCAATTATCATACAGAGTGTCCCATAAGTAATGGTACATTGGACGTAACAGTTCTTGATCAGTTCAAAATGTAACTACACTCTGTACGTTTGCTCTGTTTGATTTAAAACTATTAATTTTCCAGATGCCTCTCTTTGTAAGCCGAATTCAAAATTTAAATACGACTGCAACACATGCAGTTGCAGCAGTACCGGAAGGGAATTCTCTTGTACAAACACAATCTGTGCACCTCTCGTAAGTAAAACTTCCGTTATAATACCGCAAAAACATATTTTTTCGAAAACTATCATCAAAAGTCGACATTTTTGTTAAGTTTTAAGTTAAGTTTAAGTTAAGTCTAATATCTAGGTTAATAAAAGATATAACTTAATTTTTTTTCTACAGAATTGCCTACTTTCTCGAGATGTACCAAATGGAAATATATTTGCATATACAGGGTGTTCAGTTAACTTAATTTTTTTAAATGGAAACCTATATTTTTATGGCATTATCGAATTGTACGTGAAAAATTAACGGGACTTTGTGTTATGATCCCTATTAAATTATTGATAGTTTTCGAGATAATCGACTATTCATTTTTTTTTCTTATGTTTCGTGACTTCTAGTAGTTGACATAATTATGATCGTATGACAGCTAGAAATTATTTTGTTTTCAGGAACTGTAGAGTGAAGATGGCTCTTTCAAACAACGTATCAAAAGTTGACCTGCAATGTACAGGGGTAAAAAAAAATCGTACCTAACCTGATAATTAGAAATTTTAAAAATCTCGACTTTTTCAAATAGAACACCCTGTATTTTATTATTTCATTAGATGCCTTTCTGTAGACCCTACAATTTTTTAATAGCTTTCCCTATACCTAAGTTGCGTAGTTTTTGCAAAAAAAACATTTTTATGTAAAATACCGGATTTGCACCCGTTCCTTTGTCGGGAAAAATATTGTAAGGGTATTTATTTTTATTAAATTTATTAGTTGTCTAGCTACACTATTTAAATTAAAAATTAATAACTGAAAAATTTAGATATTTGAGTTTAATAAATAAGTCTTTATGGAAAGTTACCATTTATTTGCAAATAAAATCAAGACACCATAAAATCGCTACAAGTGATTAAAAATTTGCAAAATATGGGAAATGTTTGCTAGCAGCAGGTATTTACAAAGCAAATAATCCAAATTTACAGAGATTCCCAATGTTTTGAAAATGTGAAGGAAAGGTTTGAATGAACAGCAAATGCAAATTATGAGAAAACTACTAGGAGACATGAAAGTAACAACGATAATATTTAGTTTAAAGCTGTGGCGTCTGCTGCTGAAAATCCAAATATTAGTGCCAGGAAATTAGTAATAATCTTGGGAGTTTTCAAAACCTTGACAAATAAAATATTGAAAAAGTTTCATCCGTATCATATTGAAAATCAAGCACTGTTACCGTAGTTAGGAAAGTTATTAGTGAAACTGGAGATTAAAAAATTTTGATGAATATATTTTTGAAAAAAGGATACTCATAGTCGCAAGCTAACTTAAAATAAATACCCTTACAATATTTTTCCCGACAAAGCAACGGGCGCAAATCCGGTATTTTACATAAAAATGTTTTTTTGCAAAAACTACGCAACTTAGGTATAGGGAAGGCTATTAAAAAATTGTAAGGTCTACTGAGAGGCATCTAATGAAATAATAAAACACAGGAAAAAGTCGAGATTTTTCAAATTTTAAATTATCAGGTTTGTCACGATTTTTTTGCCCACTGTTTAGCACAGGTCAACTTTTGATACGTTTTTTGAAAGAGCCATCTTCACTCTACAGTTCCTGAAAAAAAAAATAATTTCTAGCTGTCATACAATCATAATTATGTCAACTACTAGAAGTGACGAAACATAAGAAAAAAAATGAAAAGTCGATTATCTCGAAAACTATCAATATTTTAATAGGGATCATAACACAAAGTCCCGTTAATTTTTCACGTAGAATTCGATAATGCCATAAAAAATATAGGTTTCCTTTTAAAAAAGTTAAGTTGGTACCTGCCCAGGAAAAACTGAACACTCTGTATCTGCAAATATATTTTCATTTTGTGCAGCTCGGGAAAGTAGGCAGCTCTGTAGAAAAAAAATTAAGATATATCTTTTGTTGGACTTACGCGCACTCACTAGGTGGACACGGTGTATACCTAACACAATTATCTTATTTTATTGCAGTTTTCGAAAAAATATAGTTTGCATCTCGAAGCGAAATGCTTTTGCGTTCTCGAATGGATATTTCGCCTCGATAAGCCCGGCAAAATAACTTCCATTCTTGAACGCCAAAGTACCATTTCGCGTTCTAGATACAAAAATAACTATTCTGGAACCAAAATATTAACTCGAACAGTTTATTCACAGATATACAAAGACAAGTACCTCATAGAACAGAACGAAAAGGGCTATACCATCTTAAAACCAAAAATAAAAAATTTCAACGACGAAAAGAAGCGTAACAGCGACGACGATCTCTTTGTAAACGATCAGCCAGTTGGTGAGAAATTTAGAAGAACGGTCATCAAGATGTCACCGTACGTTAAGAGACCTCCTGGGAATTTGATCGAGCAAAGTGAAGATTACGTCAACTATGACGGACAAATTTCACCAAGCTCCGAAGCTGAAGATACCGAGGAGGATTATGACGATAGTAACGAGGATGATAGTGAATCGGATGAAGATTTAGTCACTTACGGCAAAGTGGTACCGAAAAATAGATTGTATTGAATTCTTAAAGGACTATGTGTGACCATTTTTATATTATTATTGTCGTTATAAGTAAGATATGTTACATTTTTTTTTACAAGAAATCACATTCTGTAATTTAATGTTATTAAGTGTATGCTTATTTTGATCTTATTTGCCTATATTAGGCTTCAAGTGTGAAAACAAAACTATTTATATTATAAGCAAGATACCTACCTTCATTTTTTTGTACTTTTATGTAAACATTTTTTTTGTAATACATTTTTAAAACGAAATGTTGTTAATTATTAGTAAATCATACTTCTAAAAAGGTCACAGTATGCAGAAAATACTAACAAAAAGTCACGTAGAACATAAATTTGCATAAATATCAGAAACTATCGAATATATTGAAGTATTAAACAGGTTCTCTAAGAAGTCTTTTTGGGAATTTACTTATATTGGAACTATTATTACAAAAAACCTTTTATTAATTAATAACTAATATATTTTTATGTAAATTTTGAAATAAATACGATTACAGTACACTAGCGTCCTCTATAAACACCACGAAAAATTGTAGAGCGCGAATAGCTGTTAAAAAGTATGTATCTGCTCCATCTATGTTACAGTAGCCAAATTACAAATTATCATTTGTTTCCACGTAATTATTTTGTAGGAAAACGTGTTACAGAGTAAGTAAAACGGACGCTATAGGGAACCTGGGAAGTGTGATGCGCTTTTAATTTGTATGGTTATATTTTCATAAGAATAAATTAAAATTATTATAAGAAAACACTGTTTCTTCCCAGGGGTGTTGTCGTTTTTAATTATTATGTATTATATTAAATCTGGAGCTTGGTAGAAAAAGGGCCAATGTCCAAAAATTACATTTAACAGCCAATTAATCTCATGTATAACAAAAAGGACCAATGTCAACAAGTATTACAAGCCTTAATTATTTAAATTTTAAAATGGCCTAAGTCCATCTTAGTTTAATAGAAAAAGGGCCAATGTATGGACTTTGGTTCTTGAAATATTTTTAAAACGTTTGACAAACGACCAATGTCCACTGCAAAGGACATTGGCCCTTTTTCTACCAAGCTCTAGAAATATATAGGTAGATTTTTGTATATAATTTTGGTGACATAAATTAAAACGACGTTATTACTTAGGCCAGGAAAATAAGCTGGGAAATAACCATTTCGCCACTTTTTGTTTCGGCAAACTGAATTTATCACTATAGATACTAAATATTATGTACAATTAGTTTCCACAGTCATAAAAATGGGGGGAAGATTGTTTACAGGCTGGTTAATTGTATAATTTTTACGTAAATTCACGTTTTTCTCTTATAACTTTTTTCCGTTCATTTCTACGAGAAAATAGTTAGGAACTTTTTTTTCGTCTTCAAAAGACCTACAAAACTAGCCCTCGAGCGTCAAAAAATATTGATTAGATCAAAAGTTATAAACAGAACAGATTTATTTAAAAACCAGAATTTACGTAAAAATTATACAATTAACCAGCCTGTAAACATCTTCCCCCCATTGACAGATGACATTTAGTGACACATTAAATGAAACAGGACTTATTTATCATTAGCAAAGGATCTTAATTTATGCCTTTTGTTAGCGGTTGTTTTGTATTTATATTTGGGTAGTTAGAGCAACGATCGTGGGTTTCCCTGCCATGCTCTTTCCCCACAGGTGCTCTAGGTGAGCCTGGCACTCTCATTTGATGTTAAATGGTTGTTAATGTTTTTGTTGTTCTTTCTATTTGTCACATGTTTAATTTGAATTGTATGTAAATAAAGGTTAGGTGTATTTACTCTGCTTTTGTTTTAAATAATTAAACCATACATCCCCTCTACAAAGTTAGTAGCCAGCGTCTTCCGGTTAATTAAAAATAGATACACACAACGTAGGGATTCCTTATGACGATCACATACTTTTGGCCACAACTACGTTTACTTATTTTTTTGTCGAACCTAGGGTTGTTATACTACAACATCATAGAGATAAATTCAGCTTGCCGAAACAAAAAGTCGGGTCCAACTCTATATTTCCTGGCCTATAAAACCACTAAAACAGAAACCAGTTCATCTTGGAGCATAATTGGTTTGTTTGTTCGTTCGCAAAAGCCGAATCTACNGTCACGTCGGGTACGTAGTCAACGGCTTGCCTGAGGAGGGGATTGTCATGTCTAGCGGCTACGTCAAACCGTTTCTCTGCGTTTTGTCTTATTGTCTGTGTAGCGTTTGTGTATTGTAAGTCTCGTAATATGGCAGTCCTAGATAAATGATACTATAGATAGGAAACTTGAACAGATTTCGTGGTCATTAACAGCGCTAACTGTTGACACTTTCTCCAACTTCTATTGCTTTCCTTTTCTAGGAATTATCGGTAATACAGTGAGTTAAATTACCTGTAGCCGGTAAAAGATGCGAGCGCCATCTAGTTGTACGCTCTACAACTATATACCTACCCAATATTTGTTTTAGGTATTGTGACGCCGCTAAATTTAAAATTACATAACAAATCTCACCCTATCACTCTGAAATTGGTTTTGTAAAATAATTTTCACGTAGATAATTTTTGTCACCATGAGAAAATAAGTACATTTGATAAAAAGCATTAAAATCACTCAAGCTTAAAGACACTTTTAAAAGCTCTAATAGCCTTCCTACTTAAAATAAGAAATAATTTTGATACTGTAACTTTTTGAAATGTTTGTTAAAAAAATCTCAAATTTCAGTACATATGTTGAAAAAAAAGAGTGGAAATGACTATAGAGTTTCAGTGCTTTCTATATTGTATTAGCTTTCACGGTGAATAAAAAAAATATTACAAGTAAATAATTTTACTAAACCAATCTTTGATTAATTCTTGTACTAGAGATTTATTATGCAAATTTTTCGTTGTGTTGATATCCATAAAAAAAACTACCTACCTCTGATCACATTTTTTATTAAAAAAAAAACAAAAAATCAAAACATTTTATTATTAATAAAAAAAAATGTGATTATATGATGATCAGACATTATGTTATATAAATAAATGTGAATGAAATCTCTAATAAGACACACTAAAAACACAAATAAAACATACACCAACACTCGCCAAACCTAACCAACAATGAATATGAACAACAATGATTCGTAATTGCAATTGTGAAAATTGGTATTCTAGAAAATCTTTGTGGCGACATCTATAGACTCTTTCCCCAACTTGTATATCCATCTCAAGTCACGTGGTTCCCTGTTTCCCCATATTTTCAAGTATAATTTCTCGGGCCTTGTACGACTGTATGATTAATAATTACAGGTGTCAGAAATCTCATTAACTTTAAATATAAATATCACTGGTACCATAAAACTTTTATTAATAGAATAATCTATAAAAATTAAAACTCGACTCTCGGAAACGCCCCGAATAAGCGGAATTTGACTTTTAAAATAAAATCTGCACTTTATCGCTCCCTGGGCGCCGAACATCTTCGTGTGATGATTAGTATTTTGGATGCAGATCGACGCTCTAGCGTTATAGTGGCAATTACGTTGTGGTTACCGGTAATCAGTCTAGAACCGCGCTTGTTATTGCTTGCACCCTCTTGGGAGCCGAACAATTAGTAATTCTAAATATATGCGGAGGATTATACCCCGATACACCGAGGCGTACAAAGCTTATTCAACTATAATAGACGTCTCAGGCTGGTACATACACGCTATGTTACTTATACGTTATCATAAAAAGGCGGCGTAAAAGGTCAAGAAGTCTAATAGCGTTTTTTTATAACAGCAGTTTCAGCACCCTGTTGTACGAGAATCATTAAATTTGGTGTTAGGCTTTTTTTTTGGGGGGGTTGGGGGGGTTAACAACGTTAAGATACTGGACCCCCTTGTCTTTGTAGCCAAAAAAATTTGGTCGCATATTTGAATTTCTTAAAAATTATTAGTCTAGAAAGCCATTGAATTTAGAAATGTTTTTGTCACTCGATACTTTTTTCGTAAAAGGCAATGTTTTCGAGAAAAGCGGCAAAATGTGATCGAATGCATATCGAGTTTCGTGATTCGTATGAATTTCTACATGGTTAATCGTAGGTGGCTGATGAAGCATTCAATCACTTTCTGCCATTCTTCTCGGGTTGAAACCTATACACAGTTTTTTGAAAACTAACTAGAGTAAGCAAAGTTTTAGAATTATATTCCCTATAAAATAAAGTAATAATTTTGTAAGTCCGCTAACGGGTAAAAAAATCTGTTACATTTTAATGGTGCATCATCCCTTATGAACCCTTTAAAATGCTTCAATTGAACTCTACTTACACTATAAAAAAATTCCACACAAATTTTACTCGATTTTACTCAATAATATGAGTGAGTTTTACTCAAATCCGAGCCTAGCAATTGCGCGACTTTTGACTCTATTCTGAGTATACGTATAAAAATAAATTTAAAGTTGACTTTTTCTCTAATATGATTTAAATTTAACTATTATTGAGTCATTCAGATTCAACTCAACTAAGACTTGGTTTTTAATTAACTAAATATTGAGTGCAAACATACATCACTCATAAATAATTAATTAGGATATACAGGGTGTCCCTGAAAAGGATGGACAACGTTTGACCACAAGTTCCTTGGATGAAAATAAGACTATTTAGCCTAACTTACCTATATACACGCCTACTGAGATATAGCCTTCTAAATATAGAATAGATAACCCAGTTTTTTTCAAATAATTTGAAAACTGTTTTTCTTAGAAACTTCAAATTTGGTACACATATTTTTTTATATAAGGACAATGTAAATATAGAATTTGGTGAGAATACATATACAGGATGTTCTCTTTCTAGTGCCCGCGCGCCACTGGTTATCACGTAACTTTTTTGTGTGTACGCCAATGACGACAGAATTTATATTTTTAAAAATAAGCACTATTTTATAAGATTTTTTGCATCTTACAAAATTTTGATATCGTTTATGGATTTCGTGTAAAATTGTCATTTTTCGCACATTAAATAATATAAAATCAGTTTAAGGTAATTATAACAGTCTAGTACGAGGTACCATATAACAAAGAAACAAATTCATAACAATAATTAATAGATTCAGTGCCAAGCTAGGTGTGCTTTAATTTTAGCTTACTTTGTTTCTTATTGCAATTTATACTTTTTCTGAACTAACTGATATGTTAATAGTTTTGGGTTATTGTGAAAGAAATTTTTGTGCTACTGTTCGAACATATGCTGAAA